AAGGGCAATACAGAAAATGAATGCAATCAGTGTAATTTGAATCTGCTTCGGTCCCTAGATGCGTACCAGGTGGTTGGATTTGGATTGTTGCACCCACAGCTCTCTTTGTAGCTGCTTTGCCCACGTCTCTCAGGGTTCCTAGGTGAGAGAATTGAAGATTAATGTGGAATTTCAGCAAACTCTTGTATCTTGTCAGCTTAAACCAGATATTAATATTTGATGTGCAGATAATATGGTAAAAACCCCAATATTTTTACAGCTCCAGAGGCTAAAGTTCTCTACTTGTGAAGGAAGAGAAATATCAGTGGTGACACTAGTGCAGGGTAGCTGGTGGTGTAGACGGTTGCTTCATTTGAAGGGTTTCCAACAACTCCAACACAAAAGCATTGAAAGTCGGTTGGTGCTGCCACCACCCTGTGACTCGCCCAGTGGTGGCCCAAATTGTGGGTCTGTACTAACTCACCTGCTCGTTCGGCTGGCAGATGCAGTAATGTTTTTTTTCTTGCTACCAGCCAGTGCAGAACCCACTCTTATGACATACAGCTGGAAAACTCCAGAGCTCATTTCTGAGCTCCCCCTTTGTCTGCTTATCAAAGTGCTTGTACAGATGATAAAAAGGTCTCCAAAGCAGCTAGCCAAAGCTTATTTTTCCAAGATGATGGTTTGTAGCTTTGCTTTGGGCTCAGACAGAATCTTCCGTACCTCTAACCTCTTTATTTTCATCTTTCCATTGAATAAGAAAAGGAGCTCTTGGTAAGACATGTCGTGGATCAGAGAAGGCGAGCTGACCATCATAGAGAGATTTTGTGCCAACATCATTAAGGTAAGGAATGAATTTGGTCACCTGTGGTAAAGAATTGGCAGGTTCTTCAGGGTTCAGTGGAGCTGTGTCCGTGACTGCTCCGCTCTAGAAATCCAGTGTTGCTAGTAAGGGTACATATTAATGCTGGCACTGGATGTACATCCCTAAACAGCATTTGAGGATGGAAAATTACTTAAGCTTAGTCTTGCAAATGAGCAGGGCTGTAAGCAGTGCTTGCCAATAATGAGCTTAGACTCCCAGGCTTCCATGGTTTGTGCCCTTGCTGATGAAAGCAGGGCATAGGACAAGGGAGAGAAGCAAGATGGTCAGATTAGCAGTCTAAGAAATGAAACGAGTTTCTGCTGAGTAGAATAATAACTCACCAGTTCCTGGAAAATTCTGTCCTTGCTCAGCAGAGTCTTGAGACTGGTGTTGCTGTTCTTCTCGCAAAAGGATCTGTGCAGACCTAATGAGGTCAGTGGAAAGGAATACCCCTCTTAAGTAGGGGAAAGTCTCATGACTTTTTTTGTTTTTTCTTAAGTTAATTGTGTCTGTGAAAATGCCCTTGAACTCTGAAATAAAAAATACTTACAATTATGGCACTATAAAACTGTGTGCACCCTCCTCTGTGGCTGCAGAGAGGTAGCTGTGGCAGCGCTACTCTCTCTCATGAGTACTACAGTACTCTGTCATGCGATAGAAACGGGGAGGGCAAAGTTGCTTTTCAGTTTAGGTAATTGTCAATACTGATATGCTTTTTAGAGAGTCTAAACTGGGGTTAGCAGAGAGGTAATTAGCATCTTACTCTTTCCAGCTCCAGACTTGAAGCTGGGAGATACGCACTGCACTCCTACAAATGGGCGGTGCTAAAAGGAACAGTGGGACTAAACTCTCTGTGATGCAAGATGCCTGCTTGGCTGTTCGCTTTCTGGTCTGTTGTGTTTCTCCTTATTTTCTAGGCAGGTCCAATGCCCAAGCATGTTGCCTTCATCATGGATGGCAATCGCCGTTATGCCCAAAAGTGCCATGTGGAGAGACAGCAGGGACATTCGCAAGGCTTTGATAAGCTGGCACAGGTGGGAAGGATGTTTGCTGCCTTTTAGTTGTGTGTGGAAAGTTTGAGCCGCGTTCACCAGCTGACTGCATTTACTGCTTGGCTGGTGTGTTCGGTTCCTTTCCTTCACCGGCGTCAGGCCTGTGCTTGGAGCTGACGTTAGTCATCAGGGTTCCCAACTTCAGCTCTTCTCTCTCTCTTCCTGTTATCTTGCAGAGTCATTCTAATCAGCTGGGGTTTTTTCCCTCTATTTTACACTCGATTAAAATATCTGCCTTGCAGATCTTGAAGCTTTTAATTCTGTGAAGCAGGTTGAATTTCTTTGAAAAGGTCTTGAAAGGTACGATATTATATAATTTATAATGTTATCTACAAGAAGTGCTTTCCCTGGCTGGATCAGTCCCATGTCTGTTGTGGATTCACATCCTTAGATAGTGATATTTTCCTCCTGTTCTTTAAGAGGAATCTGAAATTCTCATCAAGTGGGTTTCCTTGTCAGCTCTTGATGGTTGTTTCTCTTGATCCAGTCTTAGCGTAGTGGGAAATGACAGGAAGGTTTTAGCAGTGGAGAAGCTGGGTCTTGCTGACCTGTCTGGTTGAGTCTGCTTATCTGACTTTTGTTTTCCGTTCTATTTTGTCTTCTTGCAGACACTGCGGTGGTGCTTAAATCTGGGCATTCGGGAGGTCACTGTTTATGCCTTTAGTATTGAGAACTTCAAACGGTCCAAGGAGGAGGTGGATGGACTAATGGATCTGGCAAGACAGAAATTTAGCCGCCTACTGGAAGAACAGTAAGAATCCTCTCGCGTCTGTATCCCACAGGGTGAAACTAAAGCAGAACATGATTAAGAGGTGCTTACAGGGATGTGACAAGTTGTAAAAATGGATTAAATGAAGGAATGCGTTCTCCACCTCCAGCTAGAGACTTGTGTTGAGGGACTCTGCCTATGTGGATGGGATGTACAGCTCCTGAGCACGCACAGTCCCCCAGCACACCAGATTTGTGTCTGTATCATGTGGCTTACTGTGCAACAATCCCATCCAAACAGCTGGAATACTACAGCTTTCAGATGAGCGCAGAACAATTAGAAATTCCTGCTTAGCGTTAGAGTGCTAGACACCTTTTTTTCATGAAGTATCAAAGCCTTGTCTTAAATTCTGTCACAGAATTCTTGGCAGATCAGAGTTTAGCTCAGCAACTTGCTTTGTGGTAGCTTGAGACTTCCACATATGGGCACATGGTGTGTTAAGTCACTTGTTGGGGTTGGAGAACTAGTTCATGTATTGCGTGTAGACGGAACTAGTACAGATTTGAGTGAGCAGGGAGTGGTGTTACAGTGCCTTGGTGCTCAGTGGATACATCTGTTTCCCCATGCCTGACTGGTGCGAAGAGTGGTACGTGGAAGGGATGCTTATCCGGTTGAAGTAAATTTGAAAGGGAGTGAGGGGACACAGCTGGAAGAATGGGAGGGAGAGGGTAGTGTGTGTGTGCTAGTAGAAGTTGGGAAGATAGGGGCTATCTGAGCACTGCAGTACGCCATGATTCAAAGAGGCCATTTCCCTAGTTCATACCCAATGCAGCCCTTCATCAGGGAGTTTGTACCACCAGACAGCAGCAGGAACCTGTAAGATCCCATGGGGTGTCCTGTCTGCTCAGAATAATGCTATAGAAGGCATGGATGATTTCCTGTCTCATCTGACGTTCACCCCACCACCCCCATCCCATCATTAATTAATCTTTATTCACGTACATTAATCTTTCCTTACACCAGAAGGTAGTTGTGCTACTCTATGGGTGACCATTAGTCATCTTAATTTTTGATTAGTTGTAGGTGGCCAGAGTCTATGGTTGTATTCTAAGTTTTCCGTATGGATTTTTATACCTTCAAGTAGGAATGCCTGACTTGTGATTGTTTTCTAGTCCTTTGGTTATATCTGTACCTCAGGAACTTGTGTGCGGAATGATCAGTTTCCCTTTACGGAAAGGTTTGGGATGATCAAATCTAAGCCAGGTGTCAACACCCGAAAAACATTTGGTCATTTTGCCTTTTCTAATTCTTAGTTTTGATGAAACTATGCCTGCTACATGCCTGCTGTTTTCATTCGGTGGATGTTAACACAAGGCAAACACAGCACTCATGCAGCAGGGACTGATCTGTTTTCTTAGTCCTCACTCTTGTTGTTGAGTGTAGGGAGAGCTTGAGGAAGCACGGCGTGTGTATCCGTGTCCTCGGGGACCTGCCACTTCTGCCCTTGGATATTCAGGAGCTGATTGCCCAAGCTATGCTGGCAACTAGGAACTACAACAAGTAAGTAACGCACAGTTTAAGGTAGCCGATACCTCATGCCTTCCTCTTCTGTCCAAAGGCTGAGACTTGGCAGACATGATATACCTTTTTTTAATTTGTCCTACAAGCATACGTAACTGTTGTAGATATTCTTCTCCGTCATCTGCAGTACCTGCCTTAGGTTAGTCTTTCACATATTTCTCCTCTTTTCAGATGCTTTCTAAATGTCTGCTTTGCATACACATCGAGACATGAAATCAGCAATGCTGTCAGGGAGATGGCATGGGGAGTGGAACAAGGACTGCTCGAACCCAGGTAACTCTTGTCTTTCTGCACGAGGCTTCATAGATGAAGACTGCCTGGTCTTACCTCCTACGCTTTATTAATAACCTCTCAGAAGCCAAGTGGCTTTTAAATAGATCTCATTAAACCAGTATGACTGGAACAAATGACTTAAAGTTACTATGCAATGTTTGGTTTTTATTATTTCAGTTACCATGGTGATAGATACACAACCAAGACAAGAGAAATTAGGTCTGTGTCTTAAGTTAGTTTAAAGGCGAAGGCAGATTTTATGCCACAACAATTGGCTGCTTGGCTGGCAGTCTTAGCTATGAGGTCAAACAACAGATGCATCATGAATACTGAACTGTTCCTCCACCCTGGAGGAGATGGAGTAGTTAGCACTCTGCTCTCTGCTCCAGATGGAAGTCCTCACAGTCTGGTTCCACCACTGTATTATGTTTCAGAGAGCATGGGGGGATGCTCTGGGGGCTGAAAGAGCATTTGAAATAGCCTGTAGAGCAGACAGCACTGTCCAGCAGAAGCAAGTTGATGACCGGCTGTGGTACAGCTCCACCACCCAGTTTTAATCTGCAGTCCTGTGTTTATAAAAAAACCCTCAGTAATTCTGATTTAGTAGTGCCACCTCCGTTGGGTCAGAAAAGTAATCTTAATAAGATGCATCTGTCTTTCTTAGTGATGTGTCTGAATCGTTGCTTGATAAGTGTCTGTACACCAACAACTCCCCTGACCCAGACCTCCTGATTCGAACCTCTGGAGAGGTTCGGTTGAGTGATTTCTTGCTCTGGCAGGTAAAGTCTTTGTTTTCTCCTTGAAATATTCCATGTTTGCATCAGTGTTCTACTGACTCCAGATGTGAGCTGACATGACAGCTCTTAAACTCTCTCTGCCAGGGGTTAGGTAACTTCTTGGGTGGATTGAGTGCTGGGGCACCTCTGAAGAATCGGTTTCTTGTCTAAAATACCTTGCAGCACAAGTCCAAATTTGTATCATCCTAAAAACACTTAATAAGAAAACACAAATTAGTCTAGCTGACAGCAGTCAAGGAAATCATGAATTGCTCATCCTTTTGCTCCTCTTCTTACATTTAGGTAATTCCTCATTTGATTGGTAAATTCCTGGCTTTGATTAATTTAACCTGGCAATATGTTTCCTGGGATGAGGAAATCCCAGGAAGGATTTCTAGATTCCTGGGAGAGGTGTTTGTCACATGTCAGCTGTAGGCATCAAAGGTGTAACCCTATAACGTACATGTAATGTACATGCTTGACTTGTCACGGTTTCAGAAGTTTATTTGACTTTCATAATGAAACAAGACCCTGCAAGACAGGTTCTAAGGATGGCAAAGTCAAATCAGCCTGACTAGGCTGCTAAGCTAAAACGTAGTAAGTTCTTAACGCATATAAAGTTTGTGTTATTTCCAGTTACAGTATCCAAAGCTGCTTCCATTTCTCTCTCACCTGTGCTAGACAATATTGACTTGTTTGTAACCCAAACTTTGCAGGAGAACAGTTGAGTCAAGCTGCTTTACTTAAAGCTAACATTTTGTTTTACATATATAATTTGGAGCCAAAACCCAATTGCCTTTAAGCAACCACATCAAATGTTCCTATTCCAACTTACTTAATTGGCAAGTTCACAGAAGCTGTCTGGCCTGAGTTGCAGTTGCCTACTATGGCATCTCCCTCTCCTCCCTGTATTTTTGGGCACACGTATACCCTGGATGGGTGTCAATACTGCAAATTAACATATTGCTTGCTCCTCTTGGTGGTAGTCCTGGCAGAGGTGCCTCGGAGACTGAGCTTGTAACTGGTGAAGCAGTACTGAGGAAGTCAGTGTTCTGTGAGTCTGGCTGGCCTGATGCCCCTCTCCTGTGCCGTGGATAACTGCAGAAGCGGCAGAGGAGAACGTGTGCTTGTGGTCCCACTCTGCCAGCTCACATGCCGGAGCATTAGTGCAAATTTCCCTTCACTAGCAATCATGTGTGTCCTGACAGCCCCGAAGTAGGAGGACATTGTGCTATTCAGGATGATTCTCTGGTGTCAAAGAAAATGTCCTTATGGTGTGGGTTTTTTTTTTTTTATAGAATTGACACTAAGATTTTCTGTATCATTACAATTTTAAGAGTCACTCAGAGTCCTTTTAAGTGTTAGATTTTGGGGTAGTGGTCATAGGAACACATTTACCTGAAACTTTGAGGGACTTGATGGCGAAAATAGGTTTTAACTTGAAAGCTTGCATCTTTCAGCTCTAGGATATCTTCAGTGCACCACAACTCTTAGATTCATTAAGCACTTTAAATGCCGTGAGTGGGCAGCAAGGAATATCACGAGATGTCATTTGATGAATGGCTTAAATGTCATGTCCTGATCCTCAGTTCATCTGTTATTCCCTTAACTCAGCCTTTGGTAGTCCAGCGTTGCTATTTTAGTTTTGTTATAAGTCTGTGTTGCTTAAGCTATTAAAAATGCCTCTGTGAAGACCAACATAGCATTAGAAAGAATTCTGCTGGTATTTTTACAGGAATGGATAACTAGTGTCCCAGCATTAAGAACTAATTAGAAAGACTCTACATTGTGCAATTTCAAACTCTCCTGGCGGGTATTTATTTCATTTTAAGTGGAATCTGATAACACAGCCTAGGTAAAATCTTTGTGGGGAAACGGGCATAGTTTGACCAACGGAGCTGCATCTTGATGACTCTTCCCTCGCGAGATGATTAAATTGTTGGTGATCTTGCTTTCTGCAGACATCCCATTCATGCCTGGTGTTTCAGTCAGTCTTGTGGCCAGAATATTCCTTTTGGAACTTGTGTGAGGCTATCCTTCGGTTCCAGATGAACTACAGTGCTTTACAGGTAAGGGAGCCTTAGGGAGATGGAAGGCTCAACACAGCATGTTATCTGCACAGCAAAGTGCTGGAGATCAGGTGAGAGGGTGCAAAGTGGGAACAGAGGAATTGTTCGTTTAGTGCAGTTAGTTAAGATCTTGTTTCAGTAGCAGCTAATGCCAGATGTGTTGCTTCTCCTGTACCCATGTGGCTTGTTATAACATCTTAGCATGTGGACAGACTCCTCTACTTTCGGGAATACCTAAAGTATCCGAAGTCACCACTGTCTCTGTTACTTATTGCTTGTTCCACCAGCTGGAAGTATCTGTCCCCACTCCTCAGCTGGCAGGACAGAACAAGTAAGCATTCCTGATTTGCCACAGCGCAAAATCAGCCAGTTTAACTCAAACCACTTCATCAGTGGTTTAAGCAAAGACTGCTAAGTTCACTCTGGAATGAGCAGGGAGAATTTGCATGCTCTTCCTCTAACTCTTCTATTGTTTTTAGGGGTGTAACAAGTGGATTTAGAGTTTCCTTTCTGGGAGCTGAAGGGAGGCTGCTTGAGCTGTGAGACTGTGGACAAGTGTCCTCTTTCCAGGGGGTCCAGATGTGCCTGCTGAAGAGATTGTTCCTATTGCTCGTTGTCATTGTTCCTCTCCTCTTAGATTTGTTGTTGTGAGCTCTCCCTGACCTGGTTCAGATAAATCTGGCCAACTTAGTAGTGACTTAGTAATCTGGCTATTTTTAAGCAAAACAAGTCTGGGAGCTGGCGCTCTTGATGGGGAAATCTGGGGGGCAGCAGCCTGTAGCACAGAGACAGCAGTAACCAGCAGGAGGAGGAATTCAGTGTGGTGACTCTTACCTCCACCATATCTGGTTGCTGAGTGTGTCTGTTCCTTAATTATTTGGGTCCTCTGTTTTTAAAGACAGGCATTATTGCCCTTTTCTACCTTCAGGGACCTTGTTCGTCTCCAAGAGTTGTCAAAGAGATTATAGACAGTCATGGTTATGGGTGAATTTAATCAGGTCCAGTCAGTCAAGGAAGCATCCAAATTCTCCACGTCTTTAACCTCTCTTATTCCTGTTTCTGCCCCAAGTCTACCCTTTTCCTACCAGCAATTCATTGTATTAATGCAACTAATGGCAATTCACCTTCTGCATGAAGAGGAAGGCAAAAAAGGCAGTTGTGTTTGTCATTGACATTAGCTTTGCCTCTGTCTTGAACGGTAAGGTCACTGTTCTGATTCTGCTCCTAGTGCTAATTTCTGATGGGTAACAAATGCTTCTTCTGTTCCTAGCTATCTTTCTTAGTACTTGTTTGTTGCTCTATGTGTGTTCATGCTATGCTATTATCAAGGTTTCTTATCGGACAGATTTTTTCCTTGGTTAGTTTTCTTGCTGTGAAACCCACTTTGTCCCCAGTGTATGAGGCTGCCCTTGTTTTAAGGGATGCAGCCCAGTTGTGCAGAAGGGAGGACTTCTCACTCAAAGGACCTGCCGAGATTAAGAAGCTTTTTTTCATGTTTGAAATAGGTGATCTTGAAGGCCAAAAGTATTTGGAGCTCTTGAAACAAATTACCTTGGTGGAAGGGTCGCTTGTCGGTGCGAATGGTGGGGCTAGGCGTTTGACTTGCGGAGAAGCCAGAATATATGGCAGCAGCTGTGTCTGCTGTGGGAGAGTGCTGCTGTGTTCAGGACACTGGAGGCAGTTACGGTGTGGGTAGGCAGCTGGATGGAAGGTTTGACAAGGTACAGAAAAAACTTGATTTGGAGGCATTTGACAAAAGATCCTTCCATCAACTCAAACAGCATCACATTTAATAGCCATCTTCATTTTCCAGTTAGCTTGCTGCTCAAGGGAGTCTGCTAGCTGGTTGTTGCTCACAGCTTAGTCCCAGGTTGAGCTATAACCTGCTTTTGGTACATGGTGGACCGAGGGAGAGAATGCAGATGTTGGTTGGCAAGCCTGCCCTATGGGAGTGGTCACACTGCGTCTTTTCTGGTGAACAGACAGAATTTCACTTTGTCCAAGGGTGGAAGTCTTATGCTGAACAGGCTGATGATCTTTGCATTTCAAATAAGCAGAGCTACAGCAGCAGAGTGCTATCAATTCAGTGGGCTTTCTGTAGCTAGGGATGTTTCTACTCTCATTCCCAGCACAACAAAAGCTAATTTACGGTCCCAGAGCATAGACTACTGACTTGGGCACAGGGAAAGTATGGTGAAGAGTGAGTCAGGCTCTCATTAGAATAATTATTTCTTCTTGCTCGTTTGAAAGGCCAGCACTCCCTAAGTGTGTGTCTGTGTCAGGTTATGTCACAGTGATGAGTTTTACTCTTGTTTTTAAAAACGAAAGCTCAATATTCCTGCATGCAGATGTGGTTTTGCTCTTGGAGGCTGCAGGCTAGGATATGTGCAATAAGAAGAAATCCAAAAGTGATGTTCTGCAGAAATATTTCAAATACTTGAAGGATAGGCAAGGATAGCTACTGCCTTTACTTTTTTCCTGCCCATCCTGCTGTGTCTCGAGCCAGTACAGTATTAGATCACAGGCATTTGGGAATGCTGAGCCTACTCTTGCTTTTTTACTGAAGCTGATTAGTTCAATACCTGATCATCAGATCAAAGAATTGCCCCATAAATCATTGTTCTGAATCCCCTAAAACCTTTCAGCTGCCATGTGAATAGGATCAAAGTTGCTGTAATGACACTGGCGAGGACAGCTTGTGTGCACTTCTATGGTTTGAGAATCCTCCTGTATGCCGTTCCTCTCTGATCCCGATATCTGAGGGTTTTTCCACAATCTGTCATGACCTTTATCTATTTTAACTAGGAGTTAATGCTGTGAGCAGACTTGTGTCTTGGGAAGAAGGTCCAGAAGGATATCCCTGGTTATTTTTATAACCAATCGAGCAGGCTGCTTCAAAGTGGAGGAGGTGCACACAGAGCCACCCTTTATTTGACCTGCAGATTGATGGCCAAGCGGAGGCTATTTCTTCCATAGCCTATGCTGCCTTGCATCTGTACCACAGATGAGCCGAAAGGCCTGGTAAAGTGCTAACACTCTACTGCTTTTCACTCTAGAAGGCCAGAGACTCCTACATGGAGGAAAGGAGGCGACAACAGATGGAAAAGGATCAGGCTTACGTGACAAAGAAGCTGCAGCAGGAGGGGTTTGCGTCCCACGGAGACTCTCGGCGGCGACGGACGCTGTTGCAGAAATGCACTGCCATGCGGGAAGAGAGAATCCAGGGCTTTCTACAGGCACTAGAGCACAAGAGAGTGGACTTCTTTGAAAGATTGTGTACGGTGTCTGCATGACATAGGTGCTGGGTTGTTCTTGGGAAAACAATTTTTAACCTTGTTAGAGGGAGCAGCTGCTGCCCAGAGGAATTCACTCAGTGTGGTTCTGCAGTGGGGATGCAGGGCTGCTGTAGGACTTTACGTACCCACTGGCCCTGTCTGAGGGCAGGGACAGAATACTGTGAACCTCTCTAGTTCTGTGAATGCTGCCGAGGAAGGTAATGTCGTCCTTCTGTCTCGTCTCCCTGCCCCTGATGATGGAGAATACACGCACCCTGCCGTATCTCCGCTGCTTGGTACTTTACAGGCCCGACTGTTTTGGTGACAAGAACTTAACTAAAATGAGCCTCCAGTTCTGTTTGACTCCTCATGAATTGGCCCAGGCAATTAAGTCCTGTTAAGTCAGTCTGGACTTGAATTCTTTCCATGGCTTTGCAGTACTGAATCTTCTATTGAGATTTCCTCTGCTGTCCCGTAAGGGGAGCCTCGCTTTCTATAGGGAGAGGATTATTCCTGGTGTAGAAGGGAGCCCTGTGCCAAGTGGTGGCAGAGATAGTCCCCACTGCCTACTTCATGATAGCATCTTGCCTTTTCCCCACCTTACTGTGCTGGTTTTGGTATATCTGCTCTTGGCTTCCAAAGAGCTAAAGTCAGCCTTGCTGTAAAGAAGAAAAGATACTCCAAAGCTTTAACAGGTCCTGTGATCCCTTCTGAGCAGTGTATGTGGGGAAAACCCAAATGCTGAAGATGCTGATCTTGGAACAGACTGACTGTGCTTAGGAAAGAGGCTCCGAGCAGGCAAGGAAAAAGGATTGGTTGGGAATTAACTTAATGGCTTAAAAAGGAAAAGAAGTTAGCTAAAACCAGGTGATGGATACAGTATGCCAAATCCCTCTGAGACCTCTCTAGAGCTATGACTTAACACCCTGTTTCCAGGGAATGAAGGTGGGCTTAGTTCAGGAATACAGTAGCCAAAACCAACCTCTGACCCCAGCCAAAATGGTTTAGAAGGGCTATTTAGCGGATTTTAATGGGAGTGGCCAGAGCAGCTGTGGAGTGTTGTTTGTTCTCAATTTTCCATCGACAGGGAGATGGACTAGCTAATTTCCAAGATTGTTTCCTTCTCTAATTTCTCCTGGTTTCCGTCCCTATGGTCAAAATAACAGAAAATGTCTTGATTTTTGTTTCTAATGCACATACGGGTGCAGCAGTACCAGCTATTGCTGTTTTTAAAGTGTTCCTTTTTACCTCCAGGTGAAAACTAGAAAATGCAGATTTAAAAGACTTGTAAGTGCTGCAAATTTGGCACTTTGAATGTGATTGTGAAGAGGATAACTACATTGTCAAATCGTGAATAAAGCATATTCATACCAAACTTATTTAAAAAATAAGCAGAACATTTAAAAGTACGTATTGCTTATTCTAAGGTGTGATGAAGTTGGCATCCAGCTCTAATATAATATTGTTTAACCTGTGACAGACTCCTCATCTGATTCCTGTTAGACTGGAAACGATTTGAAGGCTGTGTTCTTTTTACAGTCTAGTGTGAGCAATTTGCCGATACCCCAAGGCTTGGCTGAACGAAGCTCCGCGCACAAACCTCCTCTTGCGTAAGTAGCAAACAGTAGCTTGGGTAAAAGTGTGCCGAGATGATGGGAATTGTCAATTTAAACTTTTTTTTGCTGTATTTTATTTTCTCTGACTTCACATTTCAGGAAGCTGTCTGTGGAAATAGTTTACTCCCCATGAGATGGAGCATGCTCCAGTCTGCTCTGCCAGGCTGATGGGGAGACTGTCTTCTACCCGAGAATGTATTTTTGCCTTAAAAAAAAGGTTTTCAGTTATGTTATGATGATACAGGTGACCAAAGCTTTGTGGTTTTCCACAAAGTAGTAGTACTGTTGCAGGTTTGGTAATTGAAGAATCTGGTTTACAAATGGCTTGAAGGGAAAAAAGTTTTAATCACTTCTATAAAAGCCATTGCTGTAGTAGGGGAGGAGAAGCAGCTCTTCAAGCAGGGGAAGAGGCTTGTGTTACCTGACAGTTTGTTTACTCCACCTGCACCAGTTATTCTAGTAAAATACCAACTTTCCCTGTAAGCCTTGCTTCATTAGAGGGTGGGCCTAAGTTACACAGGCAAACTCCGAGTTCCAGGAGTGCATCTTTCCAGTGAATCTTTGTGACAGTTGTGGAAATAGAGCTACAGGCTTCTTTCAGTGAGAATTTAACTTCCCTAATTCATGTTTATATGGTGAGGATGTGGAAAAATCAGCATAACTGGAAAAAATACGCTGTTCTGGCATTTGAGGGCTGAAAAAGCCTGAGAGATTACCTGGGCAGGGAAGGGGGGAAGCGTGTTCCTTGGGCTGTTTTTCTGGTTGAGGTTCAATTAAAAGGTTAAAAGTTCGAGGCACAATGAAGTGTGTATCTTGTAATTGCATTTGTAGCTGTGCCTGTATCCAGGTGTGAGAAATGGCCCCTTTTGGAAGGAGCCCAACTTCACAAGTCACTTAGTGCAAGTAGCGGGCACCTGTGGGAATTGTTTTAGTGTCATTTTCTTGCATTTTGATTTTTCTTTTTTGGTCTTTGATTTTAGCACTGCCGCCTCCTCTCCCTTACATCTATTTGGATAGAACTCTCCCCATCTCCCATTTTTTAT